CGCCCGGGGACGGGCCAGCCCCCCCCCGCTCCGGGGGTTCTCTAGGGAGAGGGGACGGGGCAGCTCCTCCCCCCTTCTCCGAGGGTCCCGAGGGGAGATGGGCTGGGAAAAGTTCCCCCGCCACCCCGGGGGTCCAAGAGAGCCCCTGCTGAAGGTCCCGGGGGGAGATGGGTCGAGGAGACCCCCCGGGGAAGAGGGTCCGAGGTAACCTCTTGGGGTGAGACCGGGGGAGATCGACCACCCCTTTCGCCCCCTCCCCGGGGGTCGCCAGGGGAGATGGGCCGAGAGGAGTCCCTGTGGAGGGGGAGACAGAGTCATTCCTGGTGGTACTTCTGGGTGGGGACCCTCCCTCCAAGGGTGGCCCCTGGGGCGAGATGGCGCCGAGATAAACCCTCTCCGAGGGGTGCCGAGAGCGCGCTGCCCTCGGGAGGGGCATCGCAGAGCTCTCCTCGGAGGGGAGAGGCTGGGGAAGCCCCCGCAGAGCTCCCCAGGGGGGGCGGGGGGAGCCCCTTCGGTGAGCGGGCTGGGGGAGCAGGCTCGGGGGAAGGGCTCGAAGAGCCCCTCGGGGTATCCGGGCGTGGGTCCGGGCACGGGGCTCGGATTCCCTCTCCCTCTGTCGGGGGGCCGGGAGGGCTCTGCTCACACTCACACTCAGCAGCATCTCTCTGCCCCTCCAGTTCTGCCCTCCACCACCGCCAAGATGCTGCTTTTGCTGCTGGGCATCATCGTGCTCCACGTCACCGTGCTGGTGCTGCTCTTCGTCTCCACCATCGTCAGTGTAAGTTGGGACCCCCCCCCGGCGCCGGCGGGCAGGGAGGGGCTGGGGGGGTCACGGCGAGACCAGGAGGTGTCATTTTTATTTGTGCTTTATTTTCCACCCTGGCCTTTAGGAAACTTTTACTTGCAGGTTCCGGTGTCACTACCAGTGGGGTTTGGAGGTGTTTGGCCCAGAAAGCTCTTCCTGTGTGTGTGCTGGGAGGTGTGGGGGGTGGGTCGCTGGGGGCTGTGGTGCTGCTGGTCGGGGCGCCCTGAAGCCCAGCTCAGCATCCCCAGGCTGGCTCACATCATGGAGCAGCAGCAGAGCCTCAGAACTGTCTCCTGAGGAGGTGACTCTGCACTGCCCTTCCATGAGGGAGCTCCAGGGCTAACGGGCTTCAGCCGGAAGGACCAGTACAGCCAGTCTGAGCAGAACCCTGTGAAATGGGACTGGTTTGGGCACTGGCGCCTCGGCACCCGTGGATTTCCCCTCGAGCTCTGCTCCTCTGGGGCTGTGAATAAGGCACAGCCTCTCTCCTAACCCAGACAAGGTCCTGATGGTGTTTTCCAAGGCTTAGGCTTTGCAAGCAGTGGGAACGTTGAGGGTTGGATGCTGCACAGAGGGTTCCCAGCATCGTTCTTGGTCCAGAGCCCAGTTACCACATCATCTGCTGAGGAGGAGGTTTGGTTTGGTTTTCAGGCAGCAGTTCTGTGGAAGTGGCCAGTTCCAGGCTTGCCTCACCAAATTATTCTTTCCCTTATTTTTATTTGTTTTTGCTGGGTGGTAATAGTAGCAGAAGAGGTTACAAAAATCTTCCAAGTCGTTAGAAATCACGTGGAATCATTCAAATATCCCGGCCAGGCCCCGGCGAGGGGAGGGGAGGGAGGGAAGTGTGTCCCCCGTGGGGCTGGGTCCACGTTTAAAGAGAATAAAGAGCTTCTGTGTCTCCTGCCGTTGAGGTGAAGGCAGCTCAAAAGCAAACATCACTGCTGACTTTCCAACCCCTTTCCTAAAGCAGAGCCCGTGGCTGGGAGGGCTGGGTGGGCACTCGCTGACGGGGCCTGTTCTCTTGGCAGCAATGGCTGGTGAACGACGGGCACGCGGCAGATCTCTGGCAGAACTGCACCTCGGGGAACGTCTTCCACTGCCTGACATCTTCCACCAACGGTGAGTGCCACCCAGAGTTAGGAAATCAAGGGGGATTTGCCTGTGCGGGTTGGTGGTGGTTCCCTCTTGCTTTGCCCTGCTCCCCCCTGAAACTGTTTGCTCCCATCCCTGCACCTCCTGCTCTGTCCCCAGATGGAGGGGCAGGGTCCCTGCACCTTCCTGGGGAGGGGTTGCTGCCTCCTGCCTTGGCAGTCCCTGGGGTTGTGATGGGGCTTAACACTAGTGTCAGACCCATTGCCCATCACTTTGTCCTGCTGCCCCCAGGCTGTGGGGCAGCTCCTGGCAGAGGTTTTGGCACACTCAGCTGAAGCAGAGGTGACCAGCTCCAGAGCTTTTGGGTGGTCTCCTGTCATTAGCCCATTGCCATTCGACTTGGATGCACAGACGTGGGGCAGCTCTTGGAGTGGGGTTTGCTGGGTTCCAGTTGCCCCGCTGGGAGCAGAGGGGCTGCTTTGGGCATGCCTTCCTCTTGCTCTGGTTGTGAAGGTTTTTTAAAGATGCATGTGGTGCCCTGAAGACAGCCTGTAACCAGAGGACACCCTGTCCCCTGCCTAGAAAGCTGTCCTGCTTTTTGCTGTGGTGACAGGCTGAGGATTTGGGCACAATCCTCACCCTGTGGTTTGCTGTCAAACACCATGTGTGGGATATGCTGAGTGCTTGGGCCCTTCTTCATCCTGCTGCTGAAGAGGCCCCTGAGGCACCTGCACATCTGGGTGGGGCGGCTGAAAAGCCACCTCTGGACTGAGCTGGGTGAGGGTTGTTGTCACAGTGAGTGACATCAGCCAGTGAGCTGTTTGCTAAGGTCAGCAGGGGTGGAGTGCACACTAATATGCCATGATGCTGAGCTTCCAGGGCACCTTGTGGTACCAATAGCCCCCAGGTGGTGCTCAGGGAGTCAGACAAGCCCGTGCCTCAGTTTCCCGAGAAGGTGGGGCTAACACCAGTGGTGCTGCATCCAGTATTTGTTTTCAGTTAGTCTGGTTTTTGCTTTCACGTGGAAATATTCTCTCAGTGTAGCCCCCAGTGAAACCAGCTGTGAATCACACTGCTGTCACTGGGAACATGGTCACACTGTGCTGGGAACGTGGTTCTGCTGTAGGAGGAACTGATGCCACGTCATCTGGGCAAGGAGGGAACAGTTGCAGTGATGAGCACCAAATGCTTTCAGAGGGTCTTGTGGTGATGGAAGACAGAGGATTTTGCAGACTCAGGCCCCCCCTAATCCCCAGCCTGCTGGGAGCAAAACTCTGATGGGTACCCCCGTGGGGTGGTGGGTGCTGGTGCTCACCCTCCTTTTTCTCTTCCCGGTGCTGGAAGCAGCAGTGTGTTTCCCTGCAGGGGCCCAGGCTCTGGGTTGGGTGGGAGTGAAGCCACCACCGCTGGTCTCTGCTGACGCCTGGTGGTGTCCAGCCCAGCCGGGAAGCAGCTGGATCCCATCCCAGCACAGAGGAGCCTTCTGGAGCCACGGCCTCCATCAGCAGTTGGCTGTGCTGGGATGTTCAGCAGAGGCAGCTCATTCCCCTGCTCGTGCCTGCTCCAAAACTGCTGGCCTTGCACTTGGAGAGAAAAGGCAGCGCTTGCGTGTCCCCTGCAGTCCTGACAGCTGTAAAGCCTCTCCAGATCCTTTGCTTTTCAAACCTGCATGGCTTTTTCTGGGTGTTTGCAGGATGCTGCGTGCCCCGGAGTGGTCAGTGTTGAGAGTGGCTTGTCTGAAAATGTGTTTGGGATGGTTTCCTCCTCACGGGGCTGTGTGCTGGGTACTGCCAGTTTGGACTGCTCTGCTCCCAGCAGCAGCTCCCTGAGGGGCTTCCCTCTGGATCCCTTCCAGGAATGATTTTTTAACATTAAAGGGGCTCTAGTCAAGATGGCTCTAGAAAAAATGCAGATGAGCAGCTGTTTGGTTGATAAGGTGCCCCAGGAGGCTGCTCTGGGGGTAGAGGTGCATTGTACTCAGGTCGTAAAGAGCTCTGTACCAGCTCTTATTTATATGAAGTCTCTGCTCTGGCATCAGGAAAGGGTTTTTTTTGCTGGGGAAAAACTTCTGTCCCGTCCAGCCCATGGCAGGGGTGTGGGAGCAGAGCTGCTGAGGACCAGGGTTCATCTGGCTGGGACACTGGGTGCAGGATCCAGGGCTCCCCGGTGCTGTTGGAACACAACCTCAAAACCTGTTTCCTAGGCTTATGCAAGGCTTTTAAAAATCTGTTTGCACAAACAAAGCAAAAATGCCACGTGCCATCCTGCCCAGGGGATTCCTGCATCCTCTCTCCTGGCTCCACCACCCCTGCACTGCTAGGGAGCTGCACTTGGCCACCTCTCAGAGCCATGGCAGGGACACGGGGCAAGGATGCTGTGGCAGGGCCACTTTTGAGGGTCATGCTTGTCCCCTGTCCCACTGTTGTCATGCCCCTCATGTGCTCTTAGCTACCAACGTGCTTACTTTCAAAAATCTGGAAGATCCTGTATCAAATACCACAAACCCTGCTCATTTAAACCTCTCCCAAAGGCTGGGCTGCAGGGAGCCTTAAGAATTTGTTTCTCTGTGTCTGTGCCAAGGATGGTGCTTAATGGTTAATTGCAGAGTGCCAAGGTCTGCTCTGGGCCAAGAGCAATAAATCCTCGTTTGGGAATGTTGGCAGAACTTGGTCTTTACGTAGAGGCAGTTTTTCCTCTGGCCATGGCTGTGGCTGCTGTACTACACTTATTTCTTCCTCTCTTTTTGAAAAGGAGTGGTACTTGCTACTTGGAATATAGGGGATTTTTAGGGCCGAGCCTCGTGTGTTCAGCATGGCTGGGGAGGTTTCTGGGGTGGAATGCTCCTCTTGGTCTCAGCATGGGAAGGGTGGGTGAGGATCCTCCCACCTGCTGTATAGGGACCCTTTTGTTTAGATGACTGTTACTTTGATGCCCATGAGAAGCAAAATGGAATAAAATCAGATCCCATCAAGATTTCCCTGTGTTTAACACTGGGACAGGTTTGGGATTGTGCTCCCAACCTTACAGATGATCCCGTGGGGATGGATAAGCCAGAGAAGAACCCAAGGGTTGACCACAGAAGGACCGTCGGATCGTGACTCCCTGGGATGTTCACGTACCTTGGGCACAGGATGGAGTTGGCCTCAGTGGAGGCTGAGCTCCCACCTCCCAGATTCCTCTTGGCAGGGCTGGAACCCCCTGCCTGTGTGAGGGCTGAGCAATCCTGATGGGAGCAGGCAGGAGCCTCCAGCCCGGGGGCAGATGCCCACCTCGGCGCCTTTCACAACCTCCCGCTTGTTGCTTTGATTTCTACTTCTGCTGCTCAGATAATGGCTTTTTTTTTTTTTTTTCCAAGAGGCCGAGAACTATGGAAAAAATGTTGTAATCTTTGCTTCGTTTGCACTGTCAGACATTCCTGGAAAAGACTTATCTCAAGAATTCAGCTCTGAATCCCAGAGCCGTGCGTCGGCGCGGCCGCACGCCAGCGATCCCGCGGCAGGACCTGAGCTGCTCAAGTGCTCTTCAGTAGATTCCACCCCAAATTTCCAGACAGCAATATTTTCTTCCTCCAAAAACGGCCTTTTCTTTCCACAACTTTTTATGCAGACAAGTGTTGGTTTTGGTTTTTTTTTTTCTGCTACTTTCTACTGCCCTTCCTCTGATTTTCGTGCGACTGCGGTGACGCGGCGGGAACCTCTGTGGAGATTCCTGCATCCTTCTGTAACATCAGGAGACATCTGTGCTGTTGTCTTCTGTTGCTGCCCTGTGTCTTTTGCCTGACTGGTTTGCTTACAGGCAGGCTGGTGGTTTTTGGCTTTTTTACAGGGAAAAGAAAAGCCCAAATCTTGGGAAATGCACAGGCTGCCACGATGACTGAGCACCGTGGGCTGCAGGATGCACCCACTAATTAGCTGGTGTGGTGGCCACAGGCAGGACCCAGGTGGGTCACCCAGAGCAGAAACCTGCACTGGAGGGCCTGGGCAGGCAGGGATGGACCTTCAGTGGAAGGAGCTGGCACTGCTATGCTCCAGGGGATCACCCTGTTCTGCACTGTGACCTCCCCTCTTCCAGAGCCCCCTCCCTCTCGCAGGACCCTAAGCAGCACTGCTGGGGCTTCCAATGTGTTTTCTTGGCACTGGAGGAGGCAGGAAAAATCTTCATCCCTGGCACAAGGCAGGCGTATCTGTGCCCTGACCCGTCAGCTGTTCCCAGGAGGAAATGTGCTGCTTCTTGCCCCCCTCCTCCCCAGGGTCTCACTGCCCTTGTGCTTTCAAACTGTTTCTTGCAGAAACTCACACAACATGGAAAAGGCACAGAGAGATGGAGGTGCCATTTAACGCACTGTAATTCTTCTTGCAGCTGAAATTGATGTTGCAAGGCTTCAATGAAGCCTTTACCACTGAGGTAAATTATTTTTCTATGTCTAATCCCATTATTGATAGTGAGTGTAAAATATCTCAAAACCAGAGATGGAGGCAAATTCCTCTCCAGCTCACTGGAAGAGCCAAGACTGTACCAAGCCAAGGCTGGATCAAGACTTGGAGAAGTCCAGGTCCTCCACTGGTGATGGGACACTTCCTAGCACAGGAGAGTGAGATGGAGGGGATAGTTCAGTCACCTCTGCAAATTAGAAATTAAAAGATGTAAAGATTCAAAGATTTTAAAATAGTTTCAGCTGTTTATTGATTGCCAAAATTATCTCCTGCCCATCACCATGTGTCTTGCTGAGCCTGTGGGGACAGCACCACTCCAGCCTTCTGCTTTAT